CATCACCACCCACCGCCATCTTGGGCTACTCTTTAACAACGAATAGAGGGATTGACCGTCACATAATAACGCCCCCACGGCTGAAAGGGCGAGCATGTTTGGTGTGACGGGGATTCGAACCCGCGACCCTCAGATTGCGAGTCGAGCGCTCTAACCACCTGGCCATGCCAGGCCGAGAGAGAGAGAGAGAGAAGTACGATTGCTTTTCTTCCTCGTGCATTACGTTTGAATGAGTTGCATTTGCTTGCCTTTTGTGAGTTACGAATATATAAACTGGTTTTCTTTTGCTATAAATTCTAGCTGGCCAGTCTTTTTCTTCAGTTCAATCATTCAGCTGTTAATCTTACGAAATTCGTCCTACTTAGGAGATTTATGTTAATCCTAAATCAATGTACTGATAATTTTAATTAATAATTGATAATATAATAATAATAATTAATAATATAATAATAATAATTAATAATATAAAAAATAATATAATAATAATAATTATTAATAATATAAAAAATAATATAATAATAATAATTATTAATAATATAAAAAATAATATAATAATAATAATAATTAATAATATAAAAATAATGATAAAAAATGTTACTTTAGCCAATTAAATGTTGCTGTATCTTTTTTGGAACAGGTAGTCGCAAAACTGAACTATATGTTCGCGAAAAATAAGTATAGAATTCACATCTGAGGTGACATAGTGATTAATGTGATTGGACTGTGAATCTATAGATTCATGGATCAGATCCCACTACTGCAAAATTTAGCTTCGCCCCTTGATGTTGTAGGTGCGTTATAAGAACCAAGGTCAAGTCCTAGACAAGAATAGGCCAAGGACTGAGAGTAGGTGTTGTTGACTAACTGCTTTCCCTCTGGTCTATCAGTTTAAAACTAGGAACAGCTAGAGCAGATAGCCTTTATGTAGCTATGCTAAAAAGTGTAAAACTCTAAACAGACAGAAAGATATATATAGTGCAAAGTGAAACCTTGGTTATATATTAACATAATATAGAAGTATAAGCAGAAATCTAGAAGGGGTGTTACTTTTGGAAGGAAAAGAAAATGAGTGACGAACCTACACTGGAGCGGTCCGGGGAAATGCCCCTCTCGCAAACAAATTGTAAATTTCACTGATAATTGTGTATTTTGATAGCATCAGAAGCTGTTTTTACATTTTAATCATGTTTTATCTATATGTGAGTGCAACTTAAGAGGTGCGATCACACCCGTCCCCCCCCCCCCCCTACCCAAAGTGCATGTAACCAACATGAAGTTTGTATGCAAATGCCGACTAGGGCAACAAATTACTAGTTGTATTTTTATTGCAATAGCTACCGCCTAGACGGTATGTTCCAGTGACTCATGAAATTATACTTAAAAACACACTTCATAAATAGATCAGCAACACTGTGGGTTAACGTATTATTTACTTACTGTGGGTTAACGTATTATTTACTTACTGTGGGTTAACGTATTATTTACTTGTCTGTTCCTAGCTAGAAGACGCGTTGACACCATCATGTGCAGTGGAATAGGAATAAGAGATCTGATCTACAATAATTGTTTTTGAGAGGCCAACATATCTTTTACTGCCTCCACGATATTTCAAAACATTTGTCTGTTTCAGGGAGAGAGTGAAAGGCCGATCGCGGGGTTCCTCTAGAGTTAAAAGAACTATCATTTCTATGATTTAGGGGAAGCTCCCCGCAGTAAGTCTGCAGGATTACGTTGTAACAGCAGGTGAACGAGTCACATCTGGCTACTGTTAAATATCATCCTAATCCATTGATATGTTTGTTTATTTAACTGATAAACAAACCAGAACAAGAAACTTAGTCACGATCTGGCTCGTTTAAATGACGGATCCGGAAACCGACGTATTTCAAGAGTTGCCACTTACAAAATTGATTTGAACATGCATTGTGGCGATCTCTCTCCCCCAAAGCGTTTAGAATAACTAATTACGCATTCATACAGTTTTCACATGCAGATTACATATTATTTCAATTAAAATGGAAATAAGGAGATACTTTGCAGCTGGTTTTGCAAAGAAGAATGCTAGTATCTAATTCTCAAAGGAAACTAATCTGTGTATTAAATTAGAACATTTCACGAAGTACCATTTGGAGTAGAAACAGAAGGTAGGTAGGTTTATGATCATTCTTTTAAAGAAAGTGTATAGTTATCAAGAACAAGTTCAGTGTAATCAAAAGACTACTCTGTGGCGTTAGTAAAATTGAAAACGTATAAGCGAGTTACATATTGTGTAAAATTTAATGGAATTTACTTTGCCAGAAGCTTGAGTTTAAAAGTCTGTTATAATAAATAGGCGATAACTTTTATAAAGCCATAACTTATATATATTTTCTTTTTCTTAGTAATGTTGATAAGCTTCTAGTGCTTCCTATACTTTGCCAAATGCAAAAGCTTAACGTTACAGTATACCACCAGAACACTAATTGTAAGGGTACCGGTGCAGCTTAACGTTACAGTATAACACTATAACACTGATTGTAGGGGTACCTGTGCAGCTTAACGTCACAGTATACCACTAGAACACTAATTGTAAGGGTACCGGTGCAGCTTAACGTTACAGTATACCAATAAAACACTAATTGTAAGGGTACCGGTGCAGCTTAACGTTACAGTATACCAATAAAACACTGATTGTAGGGGTACCGGTGCAGCTTAACGTCACAGTATACCACTAGAACACTAATTGTAGGGGTACCGGTGCAGCTTAACGTTACAGTATACCAATAAAACACTAATTGTAGGGGTACCGGTGCACTTTTTAACCAGGAATTGTTGAACTGTAATCACAATCTATGATTTCGACTTTCGCAAAATCCTAGCAAGAGAGAAAAATAATATGTTCACATGTGTTAATCAGGAATCTTAGTCATTGAACATGACTTTGGAGTGTTTAGAATTGATAAGAATCAGTAACTATACAAATACGATTTTATATAATGATGAACAGTAGAATGAAGGCAGCAACACATACATTTAAACATTTAGCATGTTACTATTACATGGCTGATGTCTTATAACACAAGTATTTGTGGTTCGAGCCCTCCAATAAGCACAGCACAGCTTTGCGCTTACCATAAAATAACAAAAAACATTTTGTAGAGTTTTCCACTGTAACGAAAAAAAAAACATAAAACTTTCATATTATAAAGTGGTTGTAATATTATTGAAAACTTTTATAGAAACAAATTCTGGAACAGAAACAAAAGCAGAAGAGACAAGCTCTCGGAATGTTCCAGACTTCTGACACTCGACCAGCATCTGGTAATGGCCGAAAAAGACCTGTACGAGAAGAAGTCAAACCATTGATGGCAGGATACAGTGTTCAAAAAAACAACAACCACAGTACTGTTCTCTGTAAGTTTCAGTTTCGGTTACGTTTGGTTCAAGATCCTGTTGAAAAAGCAATAATGTAAATATATATATCTTTAGTATGGTGTAATGACATCTTAAATATTTACCAGTAAGTTAGAACACCGTGTTTTACTGCACATTTGGATTTCAAGTAAAAACTAATCACTTTTATGTGTGGTTCATTGGTTAAAAAACATGGAGGACTTATAATAATTGACAAAATTAATTATAAATATTGTATTTTATGTAAAAATTGGATGGCAAAATGTGATTATATTATGTTATTACACATTTGAAATAATTTATTCGTGTTTGGCTTGGAGCTGCATATTTTTATTAGTATTTAAGCCTCGTATGGTTATTAACATGTATGTTAATATTGGAGTTTTCACTTTTGATAAGTAATCACAAATCAACGTGTAGATATTACGTAATATAATATAATTATTTACATCATAAAACGGGCATCTTTGACTACAACATGCATATTAATTTTATTCTATCTTTACCACAATCGCTTGTAGCCTAGTATGGAATATTAACTGACAGCAGTTGATCACGTTAAACCTAAGACTACCCGGATCATTAGTACGGAGTTGATCACGTTAAACCTAAGACTACCCGGATCATTAGTACGGAGTTTTGAAAACTAAATTAGATCCATTTTGACACAAGTCTTTTTTTTTTTTGAAACACATTTTATACTTAGTATTTCCTTATCATTTTTGCAGGCTATGACGGTCCACTTCAATTCACCATGAATTTAGAAAACCCTGACGCAACGCCACCGACTCGGCATATGACTTCACTTGCAAAATCAAAAGAAAATCCAAGAGAAGTTATTCCACTCTCCGAGTTCCCAGCCAGCCGCTCAGGTAGGTTGCGTAAGTGCACAGCATATATATACATGCATACTTCGTCGTTGTCGACATTATAAGTGTAAATCTAAAATTAAACTTCTTGGACTGTAACGTCGAAATATTATGATACTCAGTACCACTTTAGAGACTTTCAGTGCTACGTAAGAGAAGAACGCAAAGAATGAATACCAGACTTATATAAATGAGAACTAGTCACAATCTCTCATAATTCTAAGAACACATGAAAATGTAGGAGAGTATGTTATAATATTTTAACCACTTTACATCTACCATATCCAGTGCCGACGAGGCTTTTTGCCCAATACTAGTGCTCATCAAGTCGGTTGGGATACGACAAGACACATCAGTGGTCCAGGCGTTATATATATATCATTAGTTTTCCTGAACAACAGTGGTATAGACGTTATATATATATATATATCATTAGTTTTCCTGAACAACAGTGGTATAGACGTTATATATATATATATATCATTAGCATTCCTGAACAACAACTGTCATGGTGCGAACCAGATTAGGTAACCGAAATGTAATTATTATAATTTTTATTTAAAGTTGTTTACAAATTAGATTTTTTGGGTAAAGATTAGTAACACAACATTATTTATTTTATTTTAGCACTATTTATTAGTATCATTATTGACATGAGCGATAGTAAATTCCAATTTTTTTATAGTATTCGAACAACAATCGATATATATATATATATATATTAGAACATAGTGTTATGTAAGAGTGATTGTTTAGTACACATATGAAGCAAATAAGCTAAATAGCGTGCATTACATTTGTCATGCAGTGGTGGATGTCGAAGTTATGACTGGTAATTCTCCTTGCATTTAAGGTAATAAACTAAAAGTAAAAAAGAAAGGTGAATACATTTCAAGCATATTTTTTAAACTGGTGTATGCTCGGGAAACCTTAGCGATAGTATAAAATGTAGCGCAAATTGACGTAGGAACGTTTCGTCTGCGTTATCACTCGAGAAAGGCTTGCGGGTATCGTGTATATTGTCTGATCCATTAGAAACACAAGCCTAATGGATGGTCTTATTTGCTGTTATCGGGATAATGCTATCATCTTAGCTGTAGTTAGGTAAATTCCATTCATTCTAATATCTGTCACTTTACACGAAATGTGAGAAGAAGGTGCCTGCCTGTCCTGAAGGTGGCGTTAAGGGAACGACCAAATAATTTAAAACATTTTATTTTTCAACTACTAAAATAAAGGATGAAAAGGAATTTATAGAAACTGATTTGATTTGTTTTCATTTTCAATATTTTTTTGTAAAAATTCAATTACATGAATCATGAATCGTAAAAGCTATCGATAGAAAGCTGTTTCTCAAGTACTAAAATCCTTTTTAAACTAATAAAATGTTTACGTATAGAAAGGAAGTGTGTTAACATTGATGAATTTAGCTTGTATTTTCAATGTTTTCTGTAAAGACCCTGGTATTCAACTTTTAATAAAATACACTAATTACACAAAGCTGTGTTCAAAAGCACCTCCTTATTATACAGTGCATGTCAAAGGATCATTTTATTTTCCTCAAATTTTCTGCTTTATGGGGTCTGATTTATTACTGTTTGAATTCTTGTACAATTCATTTGATATTAAAATATATATATTTGGTATTTTCAATCTGAATTACACCTGATGCGACAGATGGTCTAAGCTGCCAATTTAGGGACTCTAAGGTTCAAGCACAGCTCTTTCTAATTAAGAACTGTTCAACAGAGGAAAAGCAACAAGTCAACATCACTCACTGCTTACACAGCTGCTTTTAACCGAAAAGTAGTATTGACTGCTACTTTTATAATGCACTCAAAGCTAAAAGTGCAGACTGTGTTCAGCAGCATATCACAGACTCGAACTTTGGACCTAATCATCCGCATCCCGGTACACTAACCATTAACTCATGTCTGACCAGTTAAAGATTTAATTATTTTCATTTGTAACTCGAAATATCTTAATAAACCCTTATTAAATGTAATATTTCAAACAATAGACAGGTTTTAGAAATGCTTATTTAACGTGTATCTGCACTAGTTCCCTCTGGTGGGTAAGCGGTAAATTTACGGACTTACAACAATAAAATCCTTTTGGTAAGCAGAGCGCAGATAGCCAATTGTTTGCTATCGCGCTGAAACAAAAAATAACATTAATTCGTCTCCTTGACTTCAGTATTATTCACAGTACAACATACATCTACATTAAGATAATTTATTCACTTAGTTTCTTTCTGAAATACTAAAGCTCAGAGGAAAATACATGTAATTTGTCTTTATCTGTTGCGGGAGTTTTGCCTGCAATTCTTCGTGATTTGTTTGGTAGAGTAAAGATTTTATACGTAACATTAAAATTTATTATCTAAAACCCTCACGTACCTATTCAAACAATATTCTTCAAAGATTTTATTAACATATTGCTTAAAATGTATAGTTTGTAGATCAATCACGTGGTATTAGTATTGTTAAATTGTTAAAAAAAAATATACGTCTTCAGCCATGAAATTAGATCTCAAAATTTATACAGGAAATTATTGAATAGCATATACATGTTCCACTGTATATTTGGGACTTTATATACAACTTAAATTTTTCACTAATTTCTCTAATTTTATTTTCAAAGATATTGAAATAAATATCTATCTGGTATTTAGATAAATTGATAGTTTTTAATCGTTTTTATGGAATTAATAAAAAATAGTTTCCACTCAAAAAGGAAAAGTGGAGGTTAATGAGAATTTTTACTGATTTTAATAATGTGATCGTCAATATTTTTCTAAATCTCTTAAGATTTGATTTCACCTTTTTCTCTTTTTTTTAATTCTAAATTTAGAACGTTTTTCTAAAATCAATTTTATGTCATTTTCTTTTATAATTTCTAAATTACCTGTAACAATATGTTGAATATACATAACTGTTTCAGTTTTAGTTGATGCGAGCGTTATGATTCTGATAGTTTATATAGTGCGGGTGTCATATTTAGTTATTTTTAGAAGGAATATTTTATGACAAGTTTGTTTATGTAACTGTTTACGAATCATATGTTGTATGGTTCAATTATTATGAATTAACGATTGTTTACAATAGTGAGTTTGTTGCACCTTGTTGATAGAATTTTCTGAGTTTCTCGTTGGTTTAATTGAATATTATTGCATCAGAATATCTAGTATTGCGTGAAATGTTCTAGACTTCTGTCGAGGTATAAATACGCGTCTAAAAGTGATTACTTAGTTCTATTTCTAGACTGTGTGATCGTGAGTTTAGCGATAAAGAGTGTATAGTGGCGATTCTTAAAGTGAAATTATCACACCCTGTATTGTAATAACAGTGTAGATAAGAATAATTCGTCTTATCAGTTGTGTTCTAAAGTAACTGAAAACCAGTCTGTATGGACTTTGATGAAAAAGAGACCATTATTCAAAGCTCTGGATACAGTATTGGTAACCAACAGTGTAACAAACATTTGTATATACGTGTGATTTGTTTTAATATATTATTTTACAACAAGCGGACTATGTCGATGTTTGTTTATAATTTAAATTTATAGCTAACAAATCACAAACATCTACTGTAAAGAATCCAACTCTACAAAACCTGACATAATATGATTATGAAAAGAATTAATAAAATCACTGTTGATACAGTTGTAAGGTAATTTATCAATTTCTTTAGGATTTAATTCTTGAATACATTTTTGTAGTTAAAAGGAAGAGATCGTCCAGATTTATTGTATTTAAAACTAGCTATAGTTTGTAATAATGTGTTAGGAAATATTTCTTCTTGAACACTTTTATGATTTAAATATGGTATATTGTTTGTTCGTTTGTTACACAATGGTTATCTGCGCTAGCCGTCCCTAATTTAGCAATGTAAAACTAACACTAGGAAAGGCAGCTAGTAGTCACTTTTTCTTTCTTATATTTTAATTTTATTTAATCTTTTATTAATTCTATGAAAAACCGGTTAAAAACTTTAAATTTATGCAAATATAAAATAGATTTCTTTCAATGTCTTTAAAAATGAAATTAGAGAAATTGAAGACAATTTATTATAACCACTATTGATAAAGCTGGTTCTCATTCTGGTTTTGTATGTAAAATATTACCTACACAAATTTTAACTGATGAAATGCATACAACAAACGTATTTCCAAAAAGCACTTTAAATAAAAATACAATTATTACTAATCTGAAAAAGGCCATCAAAAATGGAATATAAGTATAGATTCTACTTGTTCTAACTTACCATTTTTGTATGGAACTGCAAAAGTTCATAAAACCCCTGTTAAGTTCTGGTTTATTACAGACCCTTTAAACACAGTTACTAAATCTGTTTCTATTGTACTTAATAGCATTCTAGATGTTTTATTTGAAAGAATAGAGTTACTGTCATCAAATGACTCGAACCACTATTTTTGGATCATTAAAATAATATTCCCCTTTTAGAATGTTTAACGAATTTAAACTATTTAAACACAGCTATTTCTGCTACTACTTATGATTTTAGTACATTATATATTAAAATAGATTTGAAAGATTTAATAAGAGTTTTTAATGACCTACTTGATAATTTTGTAGATACAGAAATAATTATTCCAAAATTTAAATATACTAAGCATCAATGTATAACAGTTATATTACTTTAATGAACAAGTGTATAAACAAACAGTGGATATTCACATGGGTGCTTAATTCTCTTCAAACATGGCCAACTTGTATCTGGTATTCTATGAAAATTCATTTTTGAAACAGATATTAAACCCATTGACTGCGGCTGCTCTAAACGTGCACAGAATTTTTGCAAGCCGTACACCGTATATCGTACACTCGCCTTCACCTAACTAAAGGGCGAATCAGCAGTCAGTGGGTTAAATACCAATTTATGTAACTATACCTTTCGTTACATGGATGATTTAATCTCCACCAACAACTTCATTTTTAATAGAAACCAAATATACATCCAAAATTACTTATAATAGAAATA